AGGATGGAAAGAACAGGAGCCAATGGCAGAGGCCTTCCTGTCAGAACTGCCCCCGAATTCCCCGGGTCAGGGAGGTGCTCACACTGGTGCATACCAGTAACCCGCAGCCACCCCGGGAGTCCCAGGTCCCTGTGGGGCTCCTGTCCTCAGTTTGACAGCCCCGCCCATGCCACATGGCCCAGGCAGCTGGGACAGCTGTGATGCAGGCAGTGGCTGAAAAGGGCTCTGAGCAGAGAGGGGCACTGCCCCGCCCTCAAAGGTGGGCTGCCAGCCGAAACCGGTTTGGCTCAGTGGATGGAGCGTCGGCCTGCGGGCTGGGGGGTCCCGGGTTCGATTCCGGTCAAGGGCGTGTGCCTGGGTTGCCGGCACGTCCCCAGTGGGGGATGTGCAGGAGGCAGCTGATCGATGTCTCTTTCTCATCGATGTTTCTGACTCTCTATCTCTCTCCCTTCCTCTCTGTAGAAAATCAATAAAATATATTTAGAAAAAAAAAAAAGGTGGGCTGCCAGATCCAGAGAACTTGTGGGGGGCAGGGGGTACACTAGTCCGGCCGCGATGAGGTTCAGCCTCTCCTGTGGCCGCCCAGGTGTCACCCACACCCTTCTCTGTGAGAAGCTCAGAAAGGGGGTGGGTGCTCCCAGGGAGCCTCCAGTGAACAGAGCATCTCGTGAACAGGTGGTGCAGAAGGAGCCCCAAATGGTTTGTCCGGGCCCCAGGGCAGCAGGATGATGGGCCCCAGGCTGTGGGGTTTGCCCAGGGGACTTGGGGAGGGCTTCCAGCAGCTGTCCCAGGGCCCCAATAAGCAGTGTGTGGGGAGGGGCCTCAGGATTTCCTCTGGCTGCCACCTCCCTGCAGCCAGGCCCCTGACCCACAAGCACAGCAGACGAGTCGTGGGATGGAACAGCCCTCCCAGCCAGCCCACTCGGGGTCCCACAGGGAGAGACACCTGGGAGATGTAGTCGGAGTGTTGGGCGGCCAAGGCTGCCAGGCCTGGAAAGGAGGACACAGGTTTGCTGAATAAAGACTCCCACTCCTGGCTGGTCTTCACGTTGTGCTTGCTGCCCCGGGGAGAGCTGCCTGTGCCCAGAGCGGGTCCCAGCTCTGCGTGGGCACCAAGACCCGAGTCCTCATCTCGGCGTCACCGTCCTTACCCCGCAGAGCCTCCGCTTCCTCCTCTGCAAACGGGTGCAACGCTGACCTGCCCTCCCAGGGTCACGGTCAGGGCGGACTGAGGTCTGGGGGGTCGGGGGGCGCTCTGTCCTAAGACCACAGTGACACTCGCCCACCTGCGGTCATTATTCAAGGAGCAGGTCCCAATGAGCAGAGCGCCAACCCCGGGCTCCCACAAACACCTCCACGCTGCTTCCCAGCTCTTGGCCCCAAAGCATGTCTGACGGAGCCTGATGGGAGCTGCCTGGGGCTGCGTGAGCCCCGGGGGGCAGGGGGGACACCAGGAAACGTGGGCATTCGATGACTCCATCCCTGTGCTGCCTGCAGGACCTCGTTGTTCTAAGGGCCGGGCAACAGGGGCCAGGATGGGGGTGGGGGTGAACAAGGCCTGGCCGCAGAGGTGGTCTTCTGGCTGGGGTGCTCAGGAAAGCACTGGGCAGGGCCCAGGACACCTCACTGGGACACCCCTGCCCACTCGCTGTGTCCTGGGGCAAGTCCCTCCACCTCTGGACCGAAGTTTCCCAGCAGGGGGTTTGGGCCAAGGCCAGAGGGGGTGCCTCACAGCATCCTGGTTTCTGGGAGGACATGGGGTCGGGTGGGCTGCCAGGAGAGGGTGAGGTGGAGGCTCACACCAGGCTTGCGGCCCGGAAGGAGGGAGAAAGCGCCTCAGTAGACACCCTGCTCCTGGGGGTTTACATGGACATGTTCTGGGGCAGCCCCGCCCATTCTGAGCCTCTCGGCCTCGGCTGGTGCGGGGAGAGCTGGTGCTTTTCACGACGTTCCAGGTGATTCTGATACTCAGCAGCCTGAGCCCCCCGGCCCACTAGCAGCTCTTGTGTGGGGAGCAGGGTCCCCTGCAGCAGACACTGGCCCGGTAGGGCCCGTCTGAGCACCTCAGAGCCCCTGCCCACACGACAGACTTCAATGAGGTGACCAGACCCAGAACAAGGTGAACCCCAGGGCTTCCCGGTGAGTTAGAAACACACGGGAGAGAGGGAGCCCTGTGCTCTCGCTGGCCGTAAGCGTGTGCAGGGCGCACAGAAGAAAACCGCTGCCAGAGGCAGTGAGAGAATATCCCTCCTCGTGGCCGGAATGAACCCGGCACCTGTGTGCACTGATGCGCAGGCTCAACACAAGCCCACCTTTCCCCAAGAAGCCCCAACCGCCCTGGCCGGGTGCGCAGTGGATAGCGCGTCGTCCTACTACACCAGGGTGGTAGATTTGGTCCCTGGTCAGGGCACGCAGAAGAATCAACCAAGGGTCCGGCTAGCCTGGCTTGGTGGTTGAGCGTCGACCTATGAACAGTTGGATTCCTGGTCAGGGCAGAAGTGACCTTCCAAGTCTTGATATCAAGTAGGTCTCAAGACTCCCACCTTCGCTGCTCCCGTCTCCGGGGAAACCGCTGCCGTGTTGGGAGCAGCCCTGTGCAGAGGCCCCTGTGTGAGGAACGGGGGCCCCCGGCCCAGTTCAGCCTTCGGTGCCTGCTTGGTGCCAGCTAAGAGATCCTGAAGGAGAACCACCCAGAAACTGTGAGAGATCATTCATGTTTGTTGTTTTAAGATGCTAGACTGTGGGGTCACTTGTTATGCCACAGCAGCAAACACATACAACAGACAAGGAAATTTCAGATGGGAAGAGATCGTAATTATGGAGCAATGGTCCATCCAACCAGTAGTTCTGACCCCAGAAAACAGTCCCTCGGATCCACAGGCCAGAGGAAGGTGAGACACCTCCCCCAGAAGGCTCTGCCCTGAGATACACATGCTGCAGCATGTCCTCGGGAAAGAAGGGAGTGTCCATAATAGTCCCGAGGACGTTGTCAGCTAATTGGGGGGGATGACCTATGGCCCCATGCCCCAAATAAATCCCAGACGGAATAAGATACCCTGAGCAAATAAGGCCGTAAGACGCCGGCAGAGGGGGTGGGAGGGCCTGGTTGTGCCAGGAGAGCCTCGCGGCACGCAGGCGCCAGGCAAGCACAG